GCTCTTAGGGTGAAGGCCATCGCTATTAGGATGGAGGCCATGGCTCTTAGGGTGGAGGCCATTCCAAAGAACAATGCCTGTTTCCGGATTTATGCTCTTGTGCATAACGTCTAATACCACCTGATGGCACGCATCTTCATTTGCTCAAACCGTTGCTTTGGATCACAAAAAGCAAACCCGAGCATGCACCCCTGTGGGTCAGGAAAAGAAGGTACGGTATAAGGGATTACCTGGTTGGCTATCCATGTTCGCTTCGCCAACAGTATGTATGGTATGCCTGATGTAGTGGGGAAGGAGAGGCAAAGGGTGACTTAGTGGTTTTTCCACCAATGCTCCTGCGAGAAAAAGGACAATGGTTGTTACTTTTTCGGAAGCATCACAAGCTCGAAAGAGAACAATTGAACGCCAAAATGATTTTGTCTCAAATTGAGGAGGGCACCCAACCCAGGGATGGTTGATTATTTGATTTATATACTACTGTTTTTTTCCAAGGTGTTTGGCTTGTCTCCCTAAAAACAAACCTGCGCTGGCTTTGTTTCAACACGATCAACGAAAATATAAATCGATGCCACGATCCGCCTTTTGCATGTGCTTGTGCAGGTGGATAGTGCAATCCCGGGTCACCGGCTCCTAGTGTTCGAGAGTCTTTGGAGTGAGACACAGAATGAGAGGAAACCCAAAACGACACCATCCGCACGTTGTCCCGGTCGAATCCACTCCACGGTTAAGATGATGTGACTGGGAGATCTACATGCCATTAGCGCCCATTTGCATTGGATCAATTAGTTCCTTTGAATACAGCAAAAGAAGGTTGCACTTGATAGCAAGTTCAGATGATGGTGATCTTTGCAAGTTGGGTCCAAAAAATATCGAGTCCAGCATCCAGCTCCTTGAAGTAAGAATTGGAAATGAAATAAAACGACGAATAACTAGGTCTGGAGAAACAAAAATCATCAATTTGAGACAGGAGTGTCTCTGGCCTCTGAGAAAGTCCTCATCTGACGGCGTCCGAGGAGATGGCCAAGATGAAGTGTGTTTCCCCGTGACATAGAAATGTCGCGGTCATCTACGGAAATGCCGATTGCTATGGTTCGATTGAACATTGATTTTTCTTGTTCGCATGTTTGGTGGGCAAATATCTCCTAAACGATCATGCTGAAGAAAGAGTACGGCATGGTTTTGATCCACATCATTATGTGTATATACATATATACAGAAGTGATGGCAAGGCACATCTCCGTTTGCCTTGGACTCAGTGAAAAAAGAACTGTAAAATTGGGGAGCCTCCCTCCTCTGCAGCTCATCCCGAAACTCCTTGGTGCGAGTGGTCTTCTTCTTGTCGGTGGTCTTTCCCATGGCCTGGGATTAGAGGTGCGGCGCTGTCCCCACCAAACAAGATGATTCAAAGATATAAATAAAGTCAGCCAATGAATTGCTCAAAAGTTTTTGTGGAAAGTAAGTAGACTTGGGAGTTTGCCATAACTTCTCCGAGACTGCAAGAGTGGAGGCTCAGTCGGCTAGAGGGCTGTATATGTATGTGCATTTATGTACATACATGTGTATGTTATATGTACATACAGTATATATTATATATTGTTGGGAACCAGGGGTCTGAGAGTGCACCCACCATAGCATGGGCACTTAGTCGTTGTACCAAACAAGAGGGTACGGATCCTTGGTACATGGGTGAACTCGAAGCTTGAGACCATCTTTATTGGTGCTCATGCTTGGGGGCCTCAAAATGGATGCATAAAATGGGTAAGGTTCTTGGACCCCGTTATGTACTTTGTTGAGTCATCTACCCCAAGAACTCAAACGACTCACTCAATGAAGCAGGGAGCTTTATTGGCTCAGATTTTCGGCAAGCCCATGAAGGTACATAGCTGTGCAGGCTGCTGCGTTGGCTGAAAAGCCAAGAAAAATGGAACCATAGGTCTATGAAAAGCCTCCAAAATAAAGTGACCCAAGAACTCTTTGTCAAAAAGGCAAAGAACGACTCTTTTTACCCTTATATATATATATATGGGTTGTCTCATTATTGGAGGCTCATTCAAAAAACCGTCACATTGCAGATCTTCAGTCCACTATCGTTGCAAACCTTCGGACTACGACCTGTTCACGATATCTGAAGAGATCCGCCTGCCGCGCAGTCCAGGCCGGTTGCAATGTGTATTCATGCTTCGCATCGCGCCAGACCACCTCGTGGGTGGAGTCAGAGAGCTTCAAAAGCTCCAAAAGCTGCGACATCGTGGAAGTCCCATGAACTTGGATCTGCTCCGTCCCCTGGCCAACAACCTCCACATTCCAAGGCCATGGCTCTGGAATCCTGGCACGTCGCGTATCCACGCTAATCTCCAAGCCTGGTGGCAACTGATGCCATCTCTCAAAAGGCTGCCAGTCATAGGTTGGCTGGAAATCTTCGAAGCGTCTCACATAAATGTCTATAGACTCCCGGCCTAAGCATTCGAAGCCCTCAAGATCTTCAAGCGTCTTCGGCCTGGAAGAAGCATCCATAGCCGCAGTGGCTTTCCAAAGGACCGCATGAATGCGATGTTGACCCTCTGGAATCTTGTGCCAAACGAAAGCTTCTGATGGAATCTTGTCCAGCACATTCATGCTGCCTGGTGTGCCCCGTGCCTCAAACCAAAAGGCAATACTGTGAGCAAGAGAAGGGTTAAGTGTCAGTCTGACATCAGCAAACTCCTCCCCAGGATTGAGAGGGATGTAGTCCCCTTGTTTTGGCGCAAGGATAATCTGATCTGACAAATCCTTCGTGCCCTTGACACTGCTTGGATTTGGCACAGAAACCACCGCCATGACAATCTCAGCTGCTGGGAAGCTAAAACAGAATGGCCTGTCAAATTGTAACAGAACACTCCAAGACAATGGCGCCGTCAGCTTGCAAAGATGCTGGACACAAAAAAGAAGTTAGAGTTCATCATAGTATCAAGGCATTAGCAAAGACATAATTTCCTGACAGACATGAGTCAACAAACCCAGTTCTGACCTGTGCTTTGTTGAATATCCAGAACGCTTGAGCCAAAGAGAAAGGAGAAGGATAACAACATCACAGAAGGAAACAAAATATGTTTACTTTGAGTGGGCGAATGCATGTCATGTTCAAACACATCGGGCAGCAGGGGAGATGGCATTGGCAAACCTGTGACCCTCAAACACCTTGACCACGCGCATTATGTGCTGCAAAAATGATGGCCCCTACAAATGCTGGTCATTGTTCCCTTTGCCATACTCTTGTAATTGGATGTAATTGGTGCAAATCCTTATATACACTCCAAAAAAAAAAGACACGATGTCAAATGCCCTGCCATTTGGGAAACTTGTCAGCATGTGGTTCATCTAATTCGGCCATAACGTTCAGATATGAAAAGACGGCCCAGATGAGTTCGTTCGCAGCACGAGACGAGCTCATGACTAAATGTTCGACTGAGGGCTATGCTATCCCCATGTCATCGAGCAGGTCTCTTCCAGAAACAAACTCGGAAAGGTAGTAAACCCAAATGTCTGGTAGACTAAGTGTTCCTGTTGGACCCTGCTGTTGTGCTGGTTGTTGCTCTTCTCAATTTGTCATTGCTTTTGCCGTTGTGGATTTCATGCATTGTGTCATTTCATGGGGGTCTCGTCACTGCGTGATTGTGCCTGTGGTTATCATGGTTGTTGCCATATTCTATGGCTTGACATTGCTGCTTCCGTTGTGCCGTCCTATTGATGTTGGCTCTCGTCACCATGGTTTTTGTGTTGTTTGTCTTGCTCTTGCTTCCCCGGAGTGCCATTGCTACAAGCTCATCATCCCTTGCAAAGCCTGTCCATTGCTCTCCCTGGTCAGTTGTTGATGCTGTCTAGGGATTCGTCATTTTGTTGCTATTGTGGCTGGGCTTGCCCTTGCTGTCCTTCCTGTCCCTGCTTCCTGTCGTGGCGGGACAGTGGTGGGACCTGCTGGGTGGGTAAACATCCATGAAAATCACCCAACGAAGCAGTCCACTTCTCGCTGCTAGGTTGGAGGCCATTGCTACCAGACCGATCTGCTGATCAACCCATCTGACCGAGGCATGGACTGGCGAGGTCGCTCCCAGTCTTTTCGGCGAAGGGGTCCCCCTTTGAGCCCAAACGATCGAATGTGATGAGTTGAAGAACGGGTTCTCGGCCAGGGGCTTCTTTCAACGGAAAGTTGCCTACGGCAGTTGGGACTCTCCAATTCTGTATATGATATATGACATATATATATATACATATGTATAACACCTGCATTAAAGAATGCAACCCTTTTCAAAATTACAGGCATCAGCCACATACTCTATCACCAGGTTCCAAGCAAATGGCTGAACTCATCCAAGGCAGCTCAAACAAACCGTATGACGATTTGTTCATTAGATACACTGAATTCCATGGATGATGTTGGAAGGGTTCATCTTTTGGATTGTCCGATGCCATAGCCAAATGTGTTCAGGGCCCTCCAGGCACTTGATCTTCGCGTTGCAGTCCAGAACCCTGCGCTGTCTGCCGGCATTGATTTTCCATGCCATGCTCAGACTCTGCCTCCGCCTCGAGCGGACGATCGAAGCCGACTCCTCGGCCCTGTGGCAAACTGCAAATGGACAAAGAAAAGCGAAGGATGTGTGAGGGCTGTTGATCCCGAAGTCCGAGAATGTGGTCTCAAACCAAATACAGTACCACCGGGATCAGTTGGAAGCCGCGGCTTCTAGTTCTCAAGCAATACCTACTGTTACAAGCGGGTGGAGCTCATCCTATTTTTCTATCTATTTCTATCCCGTGTTCAAATCCCTTACAAGCATCCTGGGGTGGAGGACCAGCGTTCCTAACCTGGGTAAGTCCACTCTCAACAGGTGCCCCGCCACACAAACCGACCGCAGATGTCGCCTAAAACTCCGCTGCTCCGCTCAATCATCTTTCACGGTCTCCTTGGGGGCCGGCGGCAGCACCCGGTTGACTTGCACGCAAACATGGATACCTGGAATTCTAGACCTGTTGCTTGTTGTATCGAAATGTAAAGTGATCCGCAGCGTAACAAATCAATAGAAATTCTGGAGCCAAATACGTTCCTGCACTTGTAAGGGCCCCTGTTCTTCTGCTGCTACTCATCCAGGTTCACCAGAGTCCATGGCGGACGAAGCCAAACCTATCAACCCTGCTGTTCTTCTGAAGTTCTAAAGCAAAGAGTCAAAGGGCATGTTATACTTTGTTGCCTGGGTTTGGGCACTCTATTGAAGCCATACCCCAAAGGTCATCAGTGCTATGCTGCTCGGGTGGAGTGTTGAAACACCTTCTTAGCAGAATGTTGGAATGTCGTAGGAAAGCACCAAAGAAGAAGATCCCCTCCGTTGCTTCCGAGAACAAATAAATGGAGAAAACAAAAAGGACACAAAAACAAAGACCCTTTGTTTCTGCGACTCAGCGGCCGTTTGGAGATTCTTGAAGCTCTCCACAGGCACCTCCAAAGAACATGAGCGATGGGTGCTACATCATGAGAAGGACTGAAATTACGAGCAAAAACCATGTTCTTTAAACTGACATAAACTAACTGCCTTTGACATTGTCGGGCAACAAGGATGTCTGTGATCCATGCGAGGCCTAGTATATATACTCTCTTTCAAGCAAACATGCAAGTGGGAAATGGTCCATTGGAGGCCGACTGTCCTCCAACACTGGAAGGGGGTTCACTCCCGATGATTCACCAAGTGAGCAGATCCATCCCCAATGAGATTCTATGGGTGTCGTTTGCTTCAATGAAATCGACCGCAACCGGCTGAAACCACTTCGGTCCACACATGCACGGTGGGGGCATACGGAAAGCGGAGCATTCGACTTGATTTCAAGGGAGAAAAACGGAGAAAGCTCACAACATCTCATAACAAATCTACCCAGATCCACCCAGTACCAAGTGTGGATGGGGAAGGGTTGGCCAATGGTGAGGTGGAGGTAGTCACAGGATTATATATAAGACATAGCATGTCCACGGCGGGAAACCCGGGCATAATTGTTTGTCGCGGTCATCTTCGCCAAGCGTGGGTGCAGCTCCTAGTAACCAGGGCATCGCTTCTAGTAACAAGGGCGTTACTACTAGTAGCAAATAGCTACTAGTAGGATTGTTTGTTTCCGGTTTGCTCCGTTGAAAGAGTCTTTGGGTGTCTTGATTTCCCACCAGAGGAGGACCGGGCACGTCTGCCCACAATGGAAAGGCTCAAGTTCTGACTGGTTACAGTAACTAGCTAGTTGTGTTCATGTCCAGTGCAATGTGGCCCGACAAAATAGAGGTGTCACGAGGTGACTTCCAACAAAAGCACTCCCCTGCTACTCAGTTATGTTCATTCTTCCCATCCTCTGAGATTCGCGCATGTTGCACCAAGGTGAACATCTTCTCCTTGGCATCTTCGTCCTCTCCAAAATTTGCGCCAATACGTTGGCGTCTTACATCTACTCAAGTGCCGCGATGACCACATGTCACCACTCCCAACTCGCTTAAGTTAGACAAACCAAACTTGGAGAGCAATCTCCGCAGGTTCACTCTGTGGGCAAAGGACTAGCCACAACTGTTCCTCCAAACTTTGGACATTGAATCTGACAACACCTGCTCTAGACTGTGGATGTTAAGCCACACTATCTTGCACAATCTAAAACGGCCTCATTGCGCTTCCGGGAGAGGCGCACACGCACCCGCCGAGGCACCTGGGTGATGAGACGAGAGAAGCTGAATGGAAGCCCGTCTAAGCCAAGAAGCTCAGCAGCTGAGTCTTCTACCAGTTGTGGTGGAACGATTCGAATTCCAAACAATCAACTCACAGGCGGGCAAAATTAGAAGCTCCATCTACCAGCCTGGTGCGAATTCTCTGCTTGGGTGTTGTGAGAACTGGTCGGCCTGGTAGGCGGACGAACAAACAGCCTGCCATTGACAAATCTGGACATCTTCGTTCCGAACCGTCGGGAGCCAAACTGGTTCAGGTCAATGGCGACCCGAATCGTCCACCGAGTCGCGTTTCGAACGCCGTTGCTCCAGAGGAACTTGTTCAGCTTCGTATCGATGCGCACATCCTCGCTGCATTGGGGGGGAAGACGATGAACTTCCACCAAGTCTCCCACATTGAAACAAACAAGAAACAAGCAAACCTAAAGTCATCGAAAGGACGGCCCCGCCCTTTCAATTGAACACACAAGGGCTCTGGTGGGGCATCTTGACCGTCTCCTGGGTGAGCATCACCTTGCAAGCAAACTGCCTCACCACCCGCACCGCTCGAGGTGCCCGCTTCTTAAAGGCGACCTGCGATCGAGTACCGGTCAGGTCAGTACCACAGTTTCTTTTTGGATTTCGAAGTGGGGGGAAGGACAAACCAGGAATAATCCGTGTTCTGATAATTAAACAACATGCTCTTTCTTGGGTGCAATCAAATGGTCAAAGACCCTGTGCGCGAAATACATAACAGCTTGGGAGACTTAGGACTTAGGAGGGCCCTTTGGTAGGGAAACACCTCATCATTCTGACACTGAGCTCCCTTCAAAGCAAGAGATGACATGCGTGCGGTCGCGATGCTTCACTGTGGCTGATGCAACATCGAGGTGGCAGGCGGTGTTCATCGTCTGCTCCCATCGTCTGTAAAGTGCAGGCGGTGTTCACCCACAGCTAAGGAATCCCGGCCTCCTGAGAATCAACCTCCTGACCCCAAAGTGAAAAAGGAACGGTACTTCCCAACAGTTCTTCGAACTACAAGGAGGGACGGGTCGGATGAGGTTCATTAACAGGAAGAGGGGATTCAAGTCATTCACTCATTTCAATTCGTTCACTGCAAGCAGCTCCCGTTGAAACTTCGAAAGCCGGACTTGCACAAGGAGCAGTGAGGAGCGTGCAAATGCGTGAGGTTGCCTGTGCCCCAAGCCTGCCGTACACTACTGCAGCTGATGTACTCAGGACCTGCGCAGTTCTCCACCTCTGGGCAAGGGCAGCACTTGGCATAACCACGGTATCCCCGCCAGCAATGACAGCCTTTGCCGGACGCAAGGCCAAAGCCGCTCTGGCAGGACCAAGCTTTGTTTTCCTCGCAGAAGTAGCGGCCACCATAGTAATCGCAGCTCCAGCCCTGTCCACGAATGGGCCAGCAAGTATCTCTCCAGTAGGTTAGGCCAGAGCTGTTACAGTTCATCTCACAATCTCCTGAACAATTAATCCCTGCCAGTTTGGCACACGGGTTCTCGGGAGGCCACGAAGACGCACCCAGTTGAGCACACAGCAACCTGATCAGAACAAATCGGAACGCCATCACAGCGTAGATTGATCTCAACAAAGCCTGCTAGGGCTAAGGGGCATCGAGCCACAAACGATCAACCACCCAAATATCCAAGGCGAAAACCTCATGTGCCGTTGGATTTCCAACAATTTGACATCTAGTCAAACTCAATCCTAAACTCTGCACTGGCAAAGAAAACGGGAGACGGCTGTTTGGAAGCTAAGAAAATGCATGTTGCACACTTGACAGACAAGTCCAGGTATTGAGATTGTCTGATCCTGGCTTGGAACATCAATGGCAGGCTCACTCCTCCATCCCTGGCTCTCCGACCCCCTGCAGTCCACTTCTGCCAAAGGACAAAAACACCAACACTTGAATTCGGTTACCTGCTGTTCACAAACAATACAAGCTCTAAACGCATTCCTCTTTCATTTTGGGAGATCACACAGCCTTCTCCCTACATTAGTTCGGGGAAGATCATGTGAGTCTTGGTCCCACACGCCGGAGCGGCAACCTGTTCCAAACTGCATGATCTGTCTGCGAAGCGCCTTCTGCATGTGCTTGTGAAGGTGGATCGTGCAATCACGCGTCACAGGCTCCTCTACTACAGGGAGTTTCGCAGGGCGGTGGCGGATGAGGGGAGCACGGAGCACGGTCTCTGACCTCCAAAAATTGATGCAATCAAGATTTACATATGTATATATATATATATCCAAAGTCGGTGTGTCACCAGTTCCAACAGTCCAAGAACGTCTCTGATGTCCTCTATACCACTAGAGTTGCATGTCATGATTAATCAAAGCTGCCTGACTCATTGAGGGTGGTTGTGATGCTGATGATGATCATGACCATGACAATAAAAAGGAGTGAGGATAAATCTCAGACTCTTGATTCTTTGCATGATACTCATTGCCTCCAACCTGACTTACCTCAGGCCTGGAACTTTCCAACCAGCGCTTCCCACGGCTGCTCCTTGCCCGCTCGGGCAGTCTTTTTCGCCTGCGCGGATGGATTGCAAACCACCAGGTAGAGAATCTTCAAAGCCTCTCTCTGGATGGCAATCTATGGAAGTTCTGCAGAATGTCCCTTTGCAGGGTCTCTTGGATTTGCTCCACCAGTCCTGAGATACAGGACTCCTGTTCAGCTTCGCATGCACTCGATGAAATTCTCTACCACCCCCCTTTCGCTGCTGGAAACTTAACACGTGCATGCCCTCAAAAATATCCACTACGATGCCAAGAGAGATGATGTAACAGGATGCAACAAATCCTCATCTGTCTCAGGATGAGAAGGGTTCCTTCCCACTGGTACAAAGGAAGCTCTTGATCCCAAAAGTTGGAGACACGTGAGGCCAAGCCCATAAACATTCCCCTGGCAAGCAAACGACCAGAATGGACCTGCCTGAGGCTTCGCCATGGCGGTCGGCGCGGGTTGTCTAGAGACAGCTTGAGATGCCGAAAAGCCAGCCAGTGTCAACTTCTCACATCTAATGCCTCCAATCCCATCCCACCAAATCCTGTTGGAAGGCCAGGGAGTCTCAACCACCCAGGCGACTTCACCCACAGGGAACCCAAGCAGTCTCCACAACCGAGTTTCATCCATTCAGATTCCAAACGCTGCAACCACGCCGCTGAACTTCACACCACAGCTTCCACAAACCCACACGTCTCGGCGGGAAGGGCGTGGCGTACCGGGCTGCCCGAAGAGGGCGCTGACGATGCATAGGGCGATAGCCCAGCAGGTGCTTGAAGGGCACCCGGACCCAACGGCCCTGGTGCCGGCATGGGCGCTGGGGGCGGTGGGCGGAACTGCCCAGCTCCTGCAACCATTCGGTCATTTGGGGATGTGTGGGCAGGTGAGCGGTGTGGCTCGGGTCAAAGTGTGTGGCTATGAGGTTCGTCCATGGGTGACCCATTGAATCCGCCATCCCATCATGTCCCGCTCCTGCTCCAGCTGCTCCAGTGTAAGGCATCTGAGTGGAAGGATGCATTATCAAATATGCTTCTCACCGGAAAAACACCTATTTCTCTATACATATATATATATATATACATATATATATATATTACATCTGCAGAATAGATCTTCCTGAAGGTGTTCCACGACCTTCCACTTCTGAGTCTGTCTACAACCTCGATCTACGACCTCTTCTCGATCTCTTGTGCTCACAGTCCCTGTGGCCCCGACAATCGGAGGTGCAGCCTGGGAGGAATTCTCACTGCCAAGGGGAATGAGGCAGGAGTATATGTGTGCATTCCGCAAGCTTCACAGTAGGTGCTAGAATGAAGGGCACAGCATGAAGTCAAGATCCCGCTGAATTTAAGCACACATCTGCAATTTCCCGCACGAGCTTTCCACTAGGACCTGTCCTGAACCTTTGATTTGTTTTTGGCTGTGAAGACTGACTCACCTTGCGCAGCGGGTTTCTCAGAGACCTGGATGCATTTGACTCATACCCAATGAGGACACCTGCAGTAACTTCTTACTAGTTAAACCCAATGCACCAAATGCAAGGACCCACTTTTCCACTGGAAGCATACTCCATGGCAACTGGGTCTGGGGCCCGTCAGGCTCTCAGTGGCTCATGGCTGGTCATCTGTGGATCAGGAAACAAGTGGAGAAAACATCAGCTGCTTTTCGATCTCCTGCGGTGGATGCGCCACTCTTAGTGGAGCTGCCCAGCTAAAAGACCTCGAAAATCCAGCCTGAGGTCGTCAGATTAGGAACCTGATGAGACGATAGAGAACCTCATTCAATGCGGACTCCAATAAACCATAGCTAACCCTGGTTCCGCATCGTTAGAATGAGCTATGAGCCAGCTAGTTCGACACTTGAGAACGCGCACGCAAACATATCACATGGGTCTTCAACACAGGTACTTGTATTGATTCTGAGCTTGGGGAAATGCGAAACGACGTAGGCCTCAGCGGACCTTTTCTGCGTTCCTTGAGCCAACCCATCAGGTGTGGCTAGTTGGTACATTTCTCATTTGCGCAAACCTGTCCAAAAATGGAGGGGTGCTCACACAGCTTGACTTTACGCGAGCGCGCTCCCCCTTGAAGGGTCTCCTTCAACATCCTGCTCGCGAGTAGTCAGCTGCTCGTCTCCGCTCCAAGGCTCCAGTTCGGTTAGGTGGTCTTTCTATAGCCCTTGTGGTGCCCGGAGACAGCACCTGCAGGCGGGATTGGTCCCTGCGAGCTTCCGCTTCGATCACCTTCAGCAGGAGCTTCGCCATGTTGGGGACCAAACTTAGAAAAAGGTGTGTCCACACCATTCATAGGTGTCCTTCAGGTCACAGTTGCGGCTTTCGATCCAGTTGTCGGCTCTTCCAGACTTCTTGCGTGCTCCCTCGGATGAAGGCCACCGTGACTCGTGTGGGTGCCCAGTTGCCGATGGCCATCAGCGTGCCACGGTGAAGCGGATGGAAGGCACTTGAGGACGCTCAGCCACCATTCCCCACTTCCCAATCCGCAGCCCAGGCACTCCCATCGATCGACTCCGGTCTCAAATCTGCAGCTCAGCAGCCAAGGCTCGTCCGCGCCGAGTGATGAGTTGATGACACCAAGTCGGTGGGGGGTGGCAAACCATATTGATTAGAATCAACTCTTATCCAATACCTTGTGGAATTCTCTGTCAGGTCCTCTTTCGTCGCTAAAGGACATTCATCAGTGGCTGGGCCGATTCCACCGATCAGCCAAGGCCCACATCGATGCGCCAGCTCGTGAGAGAGGCAGGGACCAAAGATGTACAGCGTCCTGCCCCCGAGATGTACTTCGTCCGGAGAGGTTGGACACATGTGGGAAGACTGAGCTCATTGGGCATGGAATTGTTGCTTAGACACGAGGAAAGCCGCCAACTGTTTGAAATAAGCAGGACCTCACTTTCATGCGCAAATTCAATAAACAGGACTTAGGTTGTTTAAGTGGTGTACGGTTTGGTCGTTTGATCCATCACGAAACAAGCCAGCTCATCAAAAAAAAGGCTTTTGTCGAAATGTCGAAATGTTTAGTTGATCTGTCTATATAATCCGGCAGGTCCCCAAATCGGCAGCCTTTGAATGAAAATAAGAAAGCAGAATTGAATTTGATGCAATCTGCCGCTTTGGGGGAAGCTGACCAAGCACTGCCAATACCCACTCGGTCTCCAATTCGTCATCCAACCGCAAGGGTGTGTCCTTCGCATGTCTGGAGCTTCGCTTCTGATTCTTTCGTGTCTGCTTTGCAAGAAGAATAAGAACTGCTGAGGGACCCGGAAATGGAACGGTCACGCAACGGTCAGCAACAAACATTCATCTTGTCGTATCTACAACTAAACCACACATCCTCCAACCTGGGGAGGATCATCCAGTCAGTCACTCAATTCAATCCACTCCTTGGTATGGCGGCGTGCATTAAGGGTGAAACTGCTCCTCCACCGCCAACTGCAGGAGGATCTGCCCTTCGGAACGGATTCAGCGCCAGGGCCACGGCTGCCGCGCTCCACGGGCCACCAGCCGGAAGCTTCAGCAACCTACGTCCGGAGGCCAGCCAGCCAGCCAGTTAGGGAGCCAGCCAGCCAGCCAGTTAGGGAGCCAAACGTACCTCCAAGGGCGCTGTGTTCAAGGACGGCTCCTTGCGCGTGTGCTCCATGGCCCAACACGATGGACCCAGCCGGGGGAAATCAAGATACGAATTCGTCTCATCTGTCACTTTTGCCACCTCTGTCTTCGGTTCTGATCCAGAAACTGCAGATAGAGATCGGGGGTTGTGAGCAGAAGCGCACAAGCGCAAATGAAAAGACTGGAGATCAAAAATAGGTGAAGTACCTAATAAAGCAACAACTGACTCTAGGGATGACCAAAACTACTGTTCCCCTTGTCCAACCAAACGCCAGTCTGCCCAGTCAGGCTTCCCCACTGGTGGAGCTGCATTGGGAAGACGAATGCCGATGCCTCCACCCCGATCGTCCCGACGACTGGGCAGTGGCTGGAGCCGTTGGCCCTACCCTGTTGGAAAAGTGGTGAAAGCCGAGAGCTGAAGGACTTCACAAGAGGTAGCTACAAGGCTCTCACGAGACCGGCAAACGACTTCGTACAAGACTTCGTACAGTATTTCCTGTTCACAAAGAAGAGCTTATTCACACAGAGTCATTCAGATGGAGAAACTTGTTCACACAGAGCGGTCTGTTAAGTGGGAGGCTCTGATTCACATAAAGGGCTTTGCTCACATAGCGCGGTTTGTTCAGGTCTGTTCACCTGAGAACAATACAGGTGTCTTTATTCACGCAGAGAGTCTGGCTTACACAACACTTCAAGAAGAAAGGCACATTGGCACGCAGTGCTCATTCATATTGTAATTGGTCACAGAGGGAGGCTCATCTTAGAGACTCTCACTCACACAGCCCATCTCATTCCATGGGTGGTCACTTGCCTCGCTAATAATGGCGATTGCTTTTTCTGTGTGTTTCCTGAAGTTGTCCCTACTCAAGAAACCGGGCTGAAGCTTTGAGATTCCTATCATTTTGCTGAACTAAACTCCAAGCATCTTTCTTTTGTCCGATTCTTGCGTAGTCGCCAGACCAAGTGTCAGGTGCCAGGAGCTTGACAGAAACGAGCGAAACAAAAGCCCTCGGTCAAGCAAGCGTAGAAAACTGTGGAGTGAGGAAAACGGTGTGTGTGTGGGTGTGTATTGAAGGATATCCCTTGAGAAACAGACAGGATGTTTCGCCCTTGGGTCAGGGCTGCCGGGATCCCCACTTTGAAAAGTAACTTGGGCATGTCACGTGGGGCGCAGGCTGCAACAAGAGTTCTTAATATGCAGACTTAATCGATGGCAGAAGGGAGTCGGGCCAAGGCAAGCGGCTGCTCACAAAACCTTGCAGCAAATTGTCAAATGAGGTGCTCTTTCCAGAAGAAGTACCGGCTTTGCTGCTCAAAACATGTCACAGAGACTCCAAGAGCCACCCTACTCTCTCTGAAGTACAAGGACATCCTTAAAGGCATCGACCTCTACAAACCTTGCCCCCCCGAATCGCTTTGGTCTCCCACTCAACACCTGTTGGAGCCCTGGCCTGGTCCAAAGTTGCCCAAAGGCGCCTGTCAAAGGCCATAATGACTTGTTTGCAGGATTTCTACCAGGTCCGAGTAGCTACCCTGAGCCCAGAGCAACGTCCCTCACCTGAAATGCCAGTGCTTTGTCCCTGAGTTCCCTGATCTTCTAGTCGTGTGGAGAGAGGGCCATTGTACAGAGACTGCGCCAAGAATGAGGCATACTCTAGTTGGTCTTTCCCCTGCTAAATGTCAGAGGTGAATGGTGACAAAAGACTTCGAGTCCTGACTGGTTCCAATGGCTGTCAGAACTCTATAAAGGAACAAGTGGTGATGGTGCAATGGTGCAACCACTCTGTCAAGAATAAATTGCGGCCTGCCACTAGGCACAAGACCTGTTTGTCAGAGTGGATGGTTTGGGATGGTGTTGTTAGGATGTCCAGCGACAAAAAGCAAAGAAAATGGATAGCTTCACCTGACTTCATGAAAACTGGCCGATCTTGAAGAGTCAAAACGTTCTTCCTTCTATGGCACTATGGGACCATCTATGTATATATATATATATATCCAATGTACAACTTCCCCAATCATCATCTGCTGAGCGATTCTGCAAAAGGATCCAGAAGAGGGGGAAGACTCCTGGTGCTGTAACGACCTTTTGACGCGTAGCTTCGAAGGCCTGACATCTGACCACCAGGTGCAGGTCAAAACCCTCAGACCTCTTGTGTACTTTCTACATACAAACTCAACTTCCACTTCGGTTTCCACTGTTTTGACCCACACCCGAAAAGTGCATGGTACTGGTATTGCTCCTGGACAGCCTCATCGGCGGACTGCATCTCAATTTCTTTAGATTAGAGAGAGGCTTGATTGGTCGAAGGAAAATGAGCATGAGACATAGCAGGTCCACCCTTGTATATGACCCAGCTCTCACAAATTCAACTATTTAGGGTAAAAACCATGACCCAACTTGGTTGACGCGAGCTGAATCAACCCATCCGGGAGTTGCTTCTCGGAGGCGAAGCGGACTACTGAACACATGGGCGAAGCCAGGGGCAGCGGGGCCGCAGGACACCCGGAGAGGGCTGGTCTGTCCGAAGACATACAAGACCCGGGCAGGGGGCCAACGTCTGAAGAAACATCTCATGAAACAAGTGGATCTCCAACACAAATCTTTGTCGTTATGAACTCCATTTGTGGTTTAGGAGGAACTAGCTTGATTGTGGATCGGAGATGTTGGGGCCCTGGGGTAAACTTGGAGTGTCAGTTCACCAAACACCTCGTCCCAGATAGCACGAGATTACTTGTGGGTAGCAGCTAAGTGCTTTGTTCCTTTGATTTGACGTAGGCGTGATCTGGCAGCGGCACCGGCATTCAAGCTCCAACGCCAACACAGCCATACATATCTGGCACCGGCATCCTGCCACACCTTGCAGCAGCCAGCACCCAAGCTCCAAAGAGCACACGTCCACGCACATCTAGGCACCCAGGAGCGGCACTCTGCACTAGCACCCTGCAGCGGCACCCACTGCCATAGACATCTGGCAGCAACACCCTGCAGCGGCAGGAAAGACTCCGCCGAGCAAGACCTGAAAATCGCCCATGCTTTCTTCAGATGGTAGGTGTTCAGTGCTCCTCATAAATCTCATAAGACTCTTTCGTTCACTTCAACGCCACTTCTGAGGGGCAACTGTTTTTTGACATGAATGTTGACCCCACACCCAGAAAGATGCACCCTCCAGTTCCATCTTGAGATGCACCCTTGGCCTTCACATGCTGAGTAGCCCTGGAGTCCGTTGCATGTTCTCTGTGACACATGCCATACGCACGTTCTGGGCATGTTTGCTCAGTTCGTCCGACACGCGCCGAAGCTGCATGGAGATGAACTTTCGCATGTCCACCAGGTCCTGGACATCGACTGCTGAACAAACGCACCAACAAGGCTGGAAACCACTTGAGAGCAGGTGCTGGTGGTTCTGCTCAGGTTTGTGTTTCATTGGCCGTGGAAAGTGATTGGCTGAGTACAAACTTCTTAATCAAGCATAGTTTATGCTATCTTCCATGTGTTTCATGGCTCAGAATATCTCAAAGTACCCCCAAGTACAAGAGTCAAAAGGACCAAGTGTTTGAGGTGCCAGGACAAAAGATTCTGAAAAAGGGGCATGGATGTATGTCATACATCTGGGGAGCCCATAAATGTGTAGAAAAAGAGTTCAAGAATTCCAGCACCGCGGCACCGTCGTGTGGTCACCACCAACCTCACCAACCACCGGGCCGGGTGTTTCTTCGCTCCTTACCTAATAGCAATGGCCTCCAACCTAAGAGGGACCTCGAACCATGCCTAATAGCAATAGCAAACATTGTTACTACTAGTAAGGCACTTGTTACTAGTAGCGAGGCACTTGTTCCTAGTAGCTTCTTGTTCCTAGTAGTAAGGCCAGGAGCCCCGAACGTAGCGTCCTAAGAGCGACCTCGAACCGAATTGCTTCGCTCCTTCACCGTGGTCTGCTTCTGACCTCGGAACTGCGTGACCAACTCGACGAAGTCACCTGGGCTTTCGCTTGGCTTCGTCGCTTCGGGCGGCCACCGTTTTCCAGCTTGGGTAAGTAGACTTCAGGCGACTTCAGGACTGCAGTTCCAGTGAACTCCGGCTCTGTTCCAATAGATCATGTGCACAGCCTGGATGGAGAAGGCTTCTCTGCTCCATACTGTTAGCACTGGTAGCACATCTCATGTATGGTTTGCCGCAAGGAGCAATTCTCAGCACAGCAGAAGTGAAGGGGGCCCAGGATGAAATTGAAATGCCTCTCCCTTTCCGTTGCACTTGTTTGGGAAATCCTGAGATTGTGAAGGTTTTCTGTGACATATGACAAAGCCAAATCCTTTCTTCCATTGAATTTCCCACCCATTGGCAAGGCCAGTCACTGACCTCCATCCTTTCACAATCATCAAAAAGGGCAATCGCATTGTCGCAGAAAGCCACCACCTGCGTGCGGGAGACACTGCGTTCTTAGGTGCTGAAGTTCATTGAAGTCTGATGCTCTCCGCTTTGAGTTCTGGACCCGAGACCATGCAATGGTAGATCAGGGGTCCGCTCAAAAAATATCATCCATTGCTCTCAGAAAGCAACTTTGAGGAGGCTGGGCACAACTTGAAGGAACACAACACTCGAAACCAAAAAATGACACCTTGAGAAATGCGAAAACTGAAAACCCGCCGAAATAACTAGTTGGATGTCGTGCTTGATGACCCAGTCCAAAGGTGGCAGTAGGAAAATGCAGACTTAAGCCCAGTCCCTTCCAGCCGAGTGTTGCCTGTTTCGATTCACCGTCTTGTAGTAGTCTCAATTCCTTTTCAAGCCATATCCATATGTTACAACCTTATGCATTTGTTGATGCTCCCAGCTGGATCGCCAAGAATGGACTGGGCATCCCAACGTCGATGCCCATGTTGTTGAGCCCTGTCATCCTCAGAATCACTTCATGGGGCAACAAACAAGCAGTTTGGGCAGCCCCAAGTCCATCCCCGTTGGTCAAATGTTTCTCTTACGGCACTCAGTGGAAGCAAAAGAAATTGTAGCTTCATGGATCCCAGAGTCCCATGGAGAAAGACCACCTGCACCTCCATTCCTGTCCACACATCCCTCGCTGCTGACTGCAACGCACATCACTCTCCAAACAGTATTTGGTACTGAAAAGAAGTCCTTGCATAATCAGGCACTTGTGTGCCCCTCAAGCTTGGAGGCTGTCCCTTACCTCAAGCAACCACAAAGAAATGATCAAACTTCGCCAGGCGGCAGTTGCGGATCACGTTCCATGACCTCTAAAAACTCGTCGCGGGAGAGCATCCAATCGCCATCCATGTCCAAAGTCCCTTGCTTCGCGGTGGATTGGTGTCTTGTTCACAGCGGGAGATCCTGTTGACCATCGATTTGTACGGGCCTTCCTCGCTAGTTCTCTGCCGGTTGGTGGACTTGTTCGTCAAGGCTCATCATATGGTCAACCAGTTGAACTGGCACTGAACCCTTAGCGAACTGGCCGTCAAAGAGTCAAACCCTTGCATCATTAGTGGGTAGCAGCCGGGTAGCACGTCTTTGCAGTAGTCCCCATTCGACTGAAAGCTTAGGGCCTATGGTTCCGGTGGGCTTAAGCAGTACGAATGCCGTTACGACGTGCCTATCTTGGAAACTCTGATCAAATCAAGCAACCCCTCCCAGGCCCCTCCCCATCACGGTGAAGGCCACGGGGCGAACAAAGGTCTCGATAAACTGATGCGCTTGATCGTGGAAAGCTCGCTCCTCCTCCACCTGAAGTGGCTTCCAGGAGTCCCAGTGGAGAAATCTACAGTATCCTCTAAGACTCTAAGAACACACTGGATGGATACACAAGGAAGTATCATACAAAGCATTGTATCCATTCTTGGTCTGTGGTTGCTTGTAAAAAGGCTAAGGTAGTCAACCGGGCCACTGACAAGATTTCAACATCTAGGATCTGGCTCTGGCCTACCTCACCAGAATCCTGGATATGTACATTTGCATACAGTACTCCATTGTATTTGTTTTCTATTTGTGCATGTTTTTGAAAAGTGCGTGTAGCACCCCCAGTGCACTTTGCGTCCCACGAACAAAATGTTGCTATCCGCCCGAATGGCAGCTGGGTGCGGGCGCCTGAGCCACTACATTGACGACCTCACAAAGCACTCCAATCAGCATGTTCCTCGGCTTGGGAAAGTGCGACACGCAAGGTCAGATAAATAGTGACCAGGGTCTGATGACCATTGGAGCAAAATGACACATGTTCTTCCTAGACATTACACCAAAAAGGAGATCTACACCTGACACATGATCTATATAATATATACAAATGTAAACGCTGGCTCGAGCGTCATGAGGGTCAAGGACGCCATAAAGACCTCAGACGTCGGTCCGGTCGACCATCTACGGGCTGTAGGACACCTGCAGTTGTCTTTTAAAGTCAAAAAACACTAAAAAAGAAGCTACTAGCAACAAGCGCATCGATACTAGTAACAAGCGCATCGATACTAGTAACAAGCGCATCAATA